TTTGAGTCCTGATGTGAAGACAAGAGATGTGGTGTGTTTGAGCTCTGCTGTGAAGACAGGAGATGTTGGTGTGTTTGAGTCCTGATGTGAAGACAGAAGATGAGCTAAATGTCCTCTCAAAAGTCTGTCTCTGTGATTTTGTGTTCCACATTTCTTGAACTAATGCTGTATAGTATCAAAGTCTAGCTTCCTTACGTCATGTAAGAAGTTAGACATTTAGGACCTGAACTCCTCTTCCTTGTGTATTTCATCCACAGGTCAAAAATGCTATGAAAACATTAACCACCTATGTTGTGAGTGCCAGTGTTTCCAGTCTGTCTGTCCAAAACCTGGCCGACCCAGTGGTGGTGACTCTGCGACACATTGGAGGGAACTGGGTAAATAATTGGCTAGTTTATAGATATGATTTTAAGGCCCAGTGAAGATTGTCTTCTTCCAGGTAGCAGACAGGTGTTATAATTGGGGCCTTCTAGAAACAAAGCTTTCCCCTAAAGGGGTTACTAGTGTTGAGCTTCTCGTTCTATAACAGATTGGCAGGGAGGGAGTGCGTGCGGGCAGGTAGATCTGAAGGTCATCCTATCACACTAAATGATGTTTAACTCCACTATTTTTTTGGTGAGACAACTTAATTCAAAATAGTTGAACATTTTTGTCATTTGAATTTCCAGAAAGAGCATTCAAATGTATATTATCACCAAAGGATTAAACTTAAGCCCAATGGTATACCATAAAGTATACATTACTAAACCATCAAATTTAGCCGTGGTGGAAGAGTGAACTATTCCACGCTGAAGTGATGTATGTCCAGTGTGATGTCTTAATACTTTCTTCTTTCATTTCCAATTTAAAAGACCATATGGTACAGCATATTTTTCACAGGTTTTAATTGCAGAAGGAAAAGTGGGTGAGGGAAGATACTAAATGAAACATGTTAGATGGTGAAGCTTTCTCAGCTTGGGCAAGGGCCACAGCTCTCCAAGCACCTCTCAGTAAGCAATTTCATGTTGCCTGCAGTTCCCTGGAGATTGGAGGAACTGCAGAGTCTCTGGAATGCTCACCAGGCCTAATGAGGGAGGCTCAACCTTATATACTTACGATTGTTCTCAGCTGTGAGCCCTGAATTCCGAAGTTCCACTACCAACACATCATGCCCGTATGACCACCCACAGCCCTTCCCGGCCCTCCCACCAGGGGTGTTAGGCAAATGCCTATGGCCCCTGATATTTTCTTTAAAAAAAAAATTTATTTATGCATACAAGAACTGGGGTACAGGGCAGTGATGGGTGGGAGGCTTCACCAGAGACAGAGTGGGGAGCAGAACAGGCAGATGGACTGAAATCCACTGCTGAGGGGAGCAGCGGGCGGGCCAGGAGAGGTCTGCCGTGCTATGTGGGTCACCTCCGGGGCAGGCGGGATTTGAACTCATGCGGAAGTGGCTTTAGCTTCTCAGTGCTGTGCTTTAACCCGCTGAGCCACCAGGGAGGGCCCATAGTGCTGCCTTGTAACCCTTGCGGCACCAGGGACAGTTCTCCCCAGATATTTTCACAGACACACATAACCAGGTTGTCATGCAGTAACATTTGTTTTCTCTCTTGTAAACCCAGAGTTAGTTTTAAAACAACTCACAAATGGTTCAAGTGTGTGTGTGTTCACTGTTTTAAAATAAAAACACTGTGTGGTCATTGTGTGGTAACTCACAAAGAAAGGCTTTACCCCAGATTTTTCTGTTTTCTAGAATTATGATCAAGTTCACTGTGCCTTTTGGGATTTTGGGAATAACAGTAAGTATTTTCTTTGTCTTTCACTCTCAATGCAACTTTGACGCTGATTCGTTTCCTGTTTTCCAGTTGTATGAGAGGGGCTGGTACTGAAGCTGCAGTCTTATTAGCCCTTACAGAGGACTCAGATATAAGATAGGAGTTTTATTTCTAGTCAGGGTATGGGAATTTAAAGAACCTTTCTTTTGGATAAGGGACTTATTTGGGTGGGCAGAAAAATCTCACAAGTCCGAGGTAAGCAAAGGAAGTGGGAAGACAAGTAGAGCAATCACCAGCTGTCTGAGGCAAGCTGAGGGATGAGCTCTGGGCCCTGTCTGTGCCTTTCCACAGAGACTTGGGACGCTGCTCTCCCCTTCTGCTTCCCTTCATCTCTTCTAGACTGGGTGACTGCGGGTAGTCCATTTGCCCTCTTGGAACCACTACCTTTTTATCTTTTCACTGAGGAGAAAGCGTTCCAGGTTGGTCTCGAAGGTTCTTTGCCTGATGGTTTAGGAAGGGCCTTTGGGGCAGTAAGAGAAGGGTTTGGGGATGGAGGTTGCTGAGTTCCTGCCATCCTTGCCACCTCTTTGGGAATCTCCAGGAATTTCACCAAGCCTCAGAGAATTCCCACACCAGGGGCAGCTCTGTGACCATTCAGTCAGTCCCTCTACCCATGCGTGCTGCTTGGGGACTTTTGCTTTTTCAGCATCCTTGGAATTCTGGGAATAAAAGGGAAATTAGCTTCCCATTCAGCTCCCTGGGGTATAGAGTACTGCTCCTTTCTAACAACTGAAGTGGCCTTTCCCATGTCCTACAAGTCTCGTGGGGTAGACCCCCTGTCCCTTGCAGACTTAAGTTGATCTGTGTGTTCATTCATGCCAGTTACTGGGCTTCTACCTGGTTTCCCTTTGCCCCCGCCCTTCTGCCCATGGATGCAGAGCTTCTGGGATCTGCGGAGTTATCCCGGATGGACACATTTTGACCACTGTTGGCTGCCTGCCCAAGGATGACTCCTCTGATGGAGAGCTTCCCTGGAGCTTCTACTTTGACCCTGGCTTTCTCCCCAAGGTCGACAGGTTATGGCAATCTGAGGGTTGTCTCTATACCCTGGATAGATATTCTCAGGAGTGAGAATATAGCCAGGTGTCAAATAAATAGACCAGAGGCTTTCTTTGGCTCTACGAAGCTCAAACTACGAACTGTCTCGAGTGCAAAGCACCTGAGACCATTTGAGTTCTGGATTGAAATGGTTGTTTCAGGTGCTTGTGCCAGTCCTACCAAGTGAACCCGAGTGCCAGCCTTATAGTCTGGAGCTTCACGTCCTGTTCTGGATCTACCTCTTTCCTGTTAGTGACTTCTAAAACAAGCCTTGCTCTGCCACTCCAGCGTGGGGCAGAGCTGTTTCTTGCGACTGGAGTCTGTCCTGAAGAGGGAAGGGCTGAGACAGGAAATGGAAAAGTGAGAGCTAAAAAAGTTAGGACATTTACAAAGTCCCCCAAAAGTCAGTGTAGCCTATTAGGCTTAATTTAATTTCAGTGTTCAATTACACCTATCATAGTGTCTTAACAAACAATACTAATTATAGCACACGTTTGGAAGGTGCCTATAATGAAAAGCTAAACATTTCTGAGAAAAACAAAATTGTTTTGAAATTTCCTTCTGTCTCCTGCAGATGGGCAAGGTGGATGGAATTCATCAGGCTGTAAAGTAAAGGAAACAAACGCGGATCACACGGTCTGTCAGTGTGACCACCTCACCCACTTTGGGGTCTTAATGGTGAGTTGTGTCTTAATCATTCCTGGATATAATCTTGACAACTTGTATTAGATTAAACACCAGGGGTATATATGTGAACTAAATTATGGAAGAGTGGTGTGCAAGTGGAAAAACCCATGCTCTTTTGTTCACCCCAAGTAGAGCACATTGAAGCAAATGTTCACTTTTCTTAGAAAATGAATGCCTGACCAACACACTGACATTAAGGAAAGGTCCCCAAAATTCCCCTCCCAAGAGATCACCCCCTTTAACACTTATGTACATTCTTTCAGATTCTCTTCCTGTACTTATTATATTCAAACATGTTTTTGTTTTAGAAAACAATTTGCAGTGGTTTTACTGCTTGCTTTTCGGTTCACCTAACAACATGTATTGGGTGTCTTTCAGGCAAATGCATATCCACCTGATTCAGTTTTTTAAAAATCCTCTGTAGCATTCCACTGTGTGGATTTAACACAATGAATTTTGCCAGTTTCACACTTCAGTTGTTGCTGGTTTTCTCCATTATGAACAAATGCTGTTATATACCTTCTCACTCATTTCTTTGCTAACACTGGTATATTTCCATAAGATCTATTAATGGAATTAGAATTCCTGGGGTACAGGGCATGATTATTAAAATGTTTACTTTTAATGGTTATTATCTAAATTGTAGTATAGGAAAGGTGTATTTAAATATATATATATCTATATCTGCAGTACTTAACCTAATAAGAGTAATCTGATTGATTCACACATCCAGGCTGAAAGCCTCAGAGTCATCATGGGTCCCTGTGACCCTCCCCATCATCAGTACTTGCTGTGTTTTCCTTCAAAATGGCTCTCAAATGTGTCCATCTTCTCTATCCACCTATTTTTTAATTTAAAGATTTCTTTGAATGTATGTGTGCACACAAGAACTGGGGAGTAGGCCAGAGTTGCAGGGCAGTGGGAGCACTCACCAGAGACAGAGTGGGGAGCAGAACAGGCAGATGGATGAAGTACACTGCTGTGGGGAGCAGCGGGGAGTCAGGAGGGGTCTGCTGTGCCATGTGGGTCAGCTCTCTGACTAGGGTTGGTATTCCTGCTGCAGTGGCTGTTGACAGCTTAACCCACACACCACCAGGGAGGCCCCACCCCTGAGTACTTTCTTAGTTTTCTTGAGTGAATTCATTGTATATGTAGATAGATAGTGTATACTGTCATCTGATTTTCTCGTGTATGAGCTCTTTCTCCTGCTAATGATAAACTCCTTGTGGGCTGTCTTTTCTTTTGAACACATCTAACGAGCAACTACGAATTGCTCAACTGATACTTATGGAATTATAAGAATTTTGTTGACCCCCTTTCAAGAGAAAACTGCTCATATCCCGGTTCTGTCACCAACTACCTTGGCGACCTTGGTTAGGCTGTTTCACTTGTTTAGACCATGGGTTTTTCTGAAATGTGAAAGATAAGAGTAGACCAGGATTTCCCAATCTGGGCACTTTTGATATTTTGGGTCAAAGAAGTCTTTGTCGTGGGAAGTGGTTCTGTACACTGTCGGATGTTTAGAGCATCCCTAGCCTTGCCCGCAAGATGCCAGGAGTGCCCTTCCCCATGTGACAACCAGAATGTTTCCAGACATTGCCCAGTGGCCATGGGTGGGGGGCAAAATCCCTCGTTGTTGAGGAATCCCAGAGTAGGTCAGTACTTCTTAACCTTTTATGAGTCATGAATCGCCATAATAGTCTGATAAAAGCTATGGACCTTCTTTCTAGAATAACGCACACACATAATCAAATCATTTTGTCTGCCATTTCAGGTCTTTTATGGTCCGCAGCAAGAAATTGCTGGACTATGCGACAGCTAAGGTCTATTTTGTCTCTTAATTTTATGAAAGAATTTTAAGGTCTAAGGAAAAGGAACATTTTTTTTTAAATGTTCTTGTAGTGTTTTGGGACGCTCAGTTCAGAGACTGATTCACTTTGCATCCCAAATTCACTTCTATTAGTTTGGTTATATTTTAAATATGGAACATGTTAATGACAATAAAACCAAGGACAAAATGTTCTTCCAGTGCTGTTGATAGCGCTTCATGCCTGTACATAGTTACTTGTACTAAGCATACTCAACAACAAAAAATCCAGTCTTATCATATATCCAAGCACGGACTCTGGTTCTGTAAGGGCTAGAGCAGATATGCTGTACTTCCTGGGAATCTCGTGTCAGTGAGCACGGGTTTTGCCATAAACTTGTTCTGGCAATCATATAAAGCTCAACACATTACATTCCCTAGGATTTATCTAGGTCTGCAATGGATGCAGTGAATGAACGGATACTAACGCTTGTAACATACACCGGATGCAGCATCTCCTCCATTTTCCTGGGAGTTGTGATGGTGACATACATAGCTTTTCAGTAAGTTGATAGTCTTGTTCTGAAGTAAGTTGAATTTGGTTTGATGGATACTGTTGTCATTGTAACCTTGTCAATTTCATGTTAATTCTATAAAAGGTTCCTATTCATCACAATAGGAAGAGGTCAGATCCATTAGATTATGAAGTGGGCAGGTTTAAAAAAAATAAACCAAGGCTCCTCTAAAAAAAATTGTAATTGGATTTTTTAAAAGGCAAGACGGTTGGAATAGGAAGAGATTTCTCTAACAGGATACAAAAACACTAATCACAAAAGAAAAAGTGGGTAAAATGAACTTCATTAAGATTAAGAACTTCTTTCATTAACGGGCATTGTGAAGATAGTGAAAAGGCAAACCGCAGACCAGCTGAAGAGATTTGTAATGCATATACTTGACAAATGAAATAAAAATACAAACAATACAATTAAAAATGGGCAAAAAGCTTGTACAGGCACCTCACAATAAAGGACATCAAGGCCTAGTCCTACGTCTCACTCAGACGTCTAGTAAGCATATGACAAGGTTATCAACATCATTTCTCATCAGAGAAATGCTAATTAAACCGCAGTGATACTCCTTGCCTGCACCAGGATGGCTAAAATTAAAAGTTTTGATAATAGCAAGTATCAACAAGGATGTAGAACAAAATGTCACACACACTGTAAAATTCTTTGATAAGACCTACTAAAGATAAATATACTTCTATCTGTAGACCTAGAAATTTCTCCTTGAGAGAGAAATATATGTGTCCACTGAAAGAGATGTACGAGAAAATCCACAATAACTTCATTCAAGATGGTGAAAAATTGGAAGTAACCTCAAGGTCCAGTAACTATTGACTGGATGAATAATTTGTGATATAGTCATAACATGGAATGCTTCAGAGGCATAAAAAAGAATAAACTATTTCTACAACAGTATGTCTACATTTCATCGATTTAAAGTTGAGGAAAAGAAGGCAGAGAAAGAAAAGAACATGTTTTTGTTTCCATTTATGTGAAGTTCCAAGTACAAGCAATACTAAAACCTATGGGAATAGAATACCGGTTACCTCTAGAGGGAGATATTGAATGAGCGTAGCCATGAAGGAGCCTTCTGAGATGCTGAAAACTTCCTACCCCTTGATCTGTATGGAGGTTCCTCAGTACTATTCATGTGGAAAGCTTCATTGAGTTGCATTCTTAAGATTTTACTCATTTCAATTTCTAAAAAATGAAAATCACAAAATCCAAATAATAAGTGGAAGTGAAGATACAATATGAAAACATCTATAGTTTTTGATTTGGTAAATATCAGGTCAGTTTCCACAAAGTACAATTGTGATCACGTAGTATAGCTTAAAGCCAGGCTTCTGTGATACCAAACATCTGGATCTTTGGGACTCTCCATGGAACTTGCTGAAATGTTTCCACGTCAGATTGTTAGTTGGTCTTGTGTAGATCCAGCCTTGACTCTGCAGAAAGAGTGATGATAGAATCACGGTTTCTCTAAGACTTTTTCCTTGTCTCCAAAAGTGAAAAGGAAAAGAGAAGACTGCCTAGCTGAGGGAAACTACAGCGTTCCTGGGAGGGAAAGCCACTCTGGTTAGGGTACTTTGATTCTAGCTAGAAAGACAGTGACAGTGAGAGAACTCTGAAATTCAATACCTGTCAGGTAATAAGAGTTTTAATTTAATAGGTAGTTCTTTTATTCTTTTACTTATTGTGCAGAGAAGATATGGCAGTGCTTGACTGAAAACAGGGACCTTATCATAATGGAGTTTAAAAAACAAAAGAGCAATGGAATAGGAAAAGATTTCTCTAACAGAAAATGACACACTAATCATAAAAGAAAAAGTGCGTCACTGGACTTCACTTATGGCACTCTATGGTATGTTTTCTATTAGCAAACTTCGAAGAGATCATCCTTCCAAAATCCTGATCAACCTGTGCGCCGCACTGCTGATGCTCAACCTGGTATTTCTGGTCAATTCTTGGTCGTCATCATTCCAGAAGGCAGGGCTCTGCATCTCGGCCGCTGTTGTGCTTCACTACTCGCTGCTGGCGTCTTTGACTTGGATGGGCCTGGAGGCGGTCCACATGTATTTTGCCCTCATCAAAGTCTTCAACATATACATCCCTCATTATATGCTGAAATTTTGCCTCGTTGGCTGGGGTGAGTATAACTGCCATAGTCCTCGGTGAGTCTGTGCTCAGCCAGTATGTCTTCTTAATTCTAGCCCTGTTGGGCAAATTGTTGGGGACCCAATTCCTTCACAATCATAGGCAAGGAATGAAGGATTGCTGGTGTTGACTGTGCAGCTCCTTTTCTGCATGGGCAACTTTGTAAATTCAATTCTAGCCATTATGGTGGGGAATTGGTTTGCAAATATTTCGTGAACACCCACTTGAGTACTGTGCCTGCTGCATGTGCTGTAGTGAACCATTCAGATGTTGCAGTTGTAACAGATACTTGCTGATATAACAGCCAACACTTAGGCACTCCTCTATGGAGCAGACGCTGTTCTCAGTGCTGTGTGTGTTCACTCTGCCTTCATAGTATCGAGGTTCCATCATTATTCCCATTTTATAGATGAGGGGCTTGAGGCACAGAGCGATTAGGTCATTTTCCAAAATTCACACACCATGTGTGGGATTTGGAGCAGGGAACCTGTCTCCATAGTTTGATATCTGACCTCTCTGACTGTGTAAGACACAAGGGAAGGGTTGAGAAAGTTGCAAGGGTCAGAGGTGCCCTGATTGTCTCCACGTCTCATGACTGTCCTCATCACTGCTGCCCTAAGGAAGAACCCAGGAAAGGAACTCGGCATGAATTTTCCCCATTTAGATGGCATTTCATTGGTTTCTTTTCTAAACGACATGGTCCCCCCTCCACCTATTCAGAAGAGATTTCGGGGCTCAGAAAATGCACTGGACAGATGGGAGATGTGTATTAGGTGGGGTGCATAGTATCTTGTAGGGTACATGAATTAATCAGGCTTTTTACACTACTGGCCTCTGTGGCTAACAACTGTGGCCTTGAATGCGTCTCTGCAGAAGTGACCCCACTGCTTGGGAGTGGGGGATAGGGACACGTGTGCCTGATTCTGGACACCTGGAGTACAGTTGTGCACGCATGCAGAAGTGTGCACACCTGAGCCTGGAGGTGGGGTAAAAGGAGCTGGACAAGCAGCGTGACTACCAAAGAGGCGAGACCACGAGATGATGAAGAGCAAGAACGCCAGAGAGAGCCCAGAGGATGTACAAAGATACTCCAGGGCCCAGGGCGAGGTGCACCTTGGCCTCCCTGCGCGCTCTGTACCTGGTGGCCCACAGCAGCAACATAGAGTTTATCTTCTGCAACCTGTAGCAAAGACAAAAGCTTCCTCATTAGCTCTGCATTCTTTTAGTGGGGTTCTGGATGTGTTACCTGCTCCCTGCACAGTCAGTGCTGTGATCTCTGCTTATGTGGGGAGGAGAGTAAAGTAAAGCACGATCTGAAATCCTGCTGGAGCATTTGGGAATTCATCAGCGACTCAGCCCCAAACAGCCAACACTGTCCCCTTTCTGCCTGGGAGTCAAGCTGAAGACTGAAAGATGGTGTTCGAGAGGCCCCATGACTAGTCTGTGAAGCTGATAACCCACACTTGGCTAACTTCGAGGGGTTACACACTCGCTACAGACTTGGCTTTCTTTCTCGCTCATCATTCACTGTTTCATTTCCAGACCTTCTTCCAGTTGGCTGGTGCTCAACTCTTTAATCTAACGACACACACACTCTTTGGGGGACAGGAAAAGTTAAGGCTTGGTATTTGGAGGCTGAAATAACGTGGGGAGTGTCATGTATACACCCACACCAAGGCCAAGTCAAGGCCAAGGCCAGTGACGATGCAGTGAATAAACTCAGATTCAGTTTATTCCCTACAGAGAGGGTTGGTGAGAGGAAGAGCAGCAGAAGGTGCCAGCTTCCACGCTCTTGCCCCCCTCCTTGGATTGACTGGCACCACACCAAAGGGACGGTTGGTGATCATGCTGGTGGCAGGAGTCCTTGTTGCTAAGGAGCCAACTCTAAACCAACGCTCGTGGCTTGATCTTCCACAGCTGTTCTGAGGGGGTGGCGATGCCAGGAGAAGCTGTCTCGTGACACCGCCCATCAAGGGAGGGGCCCGAGTGCGAGAGGGTGCAGGGACACCTCCTTACTGGCCTCCCGTCTTGAATTAGAACTCGCGAGGGTCACAAGGCTCTCCACCAAGACTCAGCTTGGCTCCGGTCTCGCCTGTGTGGCCCATGTGGCTCCACACACAGTCACCAGGGTGCCACTCCCGGAGCTCCTTGGATGTTGGCAATGCCGTCACTCTGCACATGTTAGTGTGTGCTTATCTGCTAATGCCAAAGCAACCTGTTGAAAAGGTTTTGTTCATTACTGAAATGCCTGTCCGAGGCAGGTAGCTGCATCTGCTGCCAGACTGTGGTGGAGGGCCCTGCCTTGATGGCGGGAGTGACACACACATGGGGGTGTGACCTGCACCTCTGTGTCACATGCAGTCCTGTACCGCAGCATTAATAAATAGATAGGACAAAGCTTTTAAAAAATCGGAAAAGCATGCATCTTTTTTTTTTAAAAGATTTATTTATTTACGCATACAGAACTGGGGTACAGGCCAGAGGCTCAGGGGCGGCGAGAGGCTTCACCAGAGTCAGAGTGGGGAGCAGAACAGGCAGATCGAGGAAGTACACTGCTGAGGGGAGCAGTGGGCGGGTCAGGAGAGGTCTGCCACGCCATGTGGTCACCTCCGGGGCAGGCGGGGATCGAACTCATGCAGAAGTGGCTTAAGCCTCTTTGTGCTGTGCTTTAACCCGCTGCGCCACCAGGGAGGGCCAGCATGCATCTTTTTTGCTTTAATCATCAAATTGCAAAATAGCCTCCAAAATGTGAGTGCTCCCTTCAGCTCCCTGTTCCGGCCTCTGGCTGGTATTCTGCTGGCCATCTACCTCACACGACCACCATGCTGGGTGTGTGAGACACAGTTTGAAAGCAATTGTCCTGTATCCTTGCACAATAGGACAGCAGAGAATTCTTCCAGATGCTTGGTGCTCGGGGATTTGAGACAGCTTTGAAACAGTGTGATGTTCCTTGTCAGTTAAGTTTTGCAAGTGTCCATGCAATTGGAATTTGAAACCCTGTGTCTAAACTCACCTCACGTTTGCCCACTTTGACTGAACTGATTGCTTTATTATGGTCTGACTGAATTGACTGGTTGTTAACTGGTCGATCTAGTCAAAATGTCAAACTAGTAACGAGGGTGGAAACAGCTCCCCTGTCAGAAAAGCACTGAAGGCTGCAGCTGATTGCCTGTGCCCTTCCTCCAAGGTGACCTGCACAGGAAGAGACTGGCAACGGAATGGGCTGTGCGGATGGGGAGATAAAAGTTGGCGGCCCATCATCTGAGAAGAAATGCTCCATGTGAATGTGCATTCCTATGAGCTACATACTTCCACTGCCAACTTGAATTTTTGGCACTTGAGCTATTTTTAATAACCAGTGGGCGTTGTATTGGAGCCACGGGCATGCTGTTTAGTTTAGCAGATTGGAGAACTCCTAGAAATGTTTAACTTGGAAGGATTCGAAAACATTTTGCAAACAATGGTATTTTGATGCCTGCACAGCTGTGGCTCGTTTAAACAGTGTCTCAATGTCTCAGCGCCCACAGTCCGCGATCAGCTCTCTCCCAGTTCCCTAATGGGAGGCCCCTGGCTTGCTTCTCCACTTTAGGAGTGCCGGCGGCTGTGGTGGCAATCATACTCTCTGTGAGCAGAGATGTGTACGGAAGTCTGGGCTCCACGACGCTGTTGTAAGTATTGGCCTTGCTGCTTCATCAGGCAGTGATGCTCTTACCTGCGGGGTGAGGGTGGGGGGTTCCTGCTTGGGGCTAGGTCTGGATGCTGGCTTTGGGGATGGCGCGGGCTCGGTTTCCAGCTCTCTGGCCTAAACAAAGTCGTGGCTACACTCATATAATGGTTGGGTGCTGGACTCTGCAAGACCTTAGGGAAGTGACCTTAATTTCACTACCACGTCCTCTTCTGGAAAATGGGGTGATATGTCTGTCTCAGTGTTGTCTGCGAATGAAAGTGATATGTTGCATGTAAAGTGCTCAGCTTTTGGCCTGTCCCATGGTAAGAACTGTGTAACTGGCAGCTTTTCTGAGGAGCAAGTTCACAGAAGTGGAAAGCATTTGGGGCAGCGATTAAGAGGACTGTTGGGAAAGATGCTGTCACTGTCGCCAGCAGCATCTTCCCTGAGAAGACTCCAGTTTTGTTGTCCTGCTGTGTCTTTTCTTCTTTTGACGTATAAGTTCGTCTCTTTGCTTCTCTCATCCATAGCCATGACAGAGTAGCCAATCACTTGTCCTACCCTTCCAGAGCTTCTTTCACAAGTCTGTAGGTAGTTGCGGTCTTGTGCTTTCGGCTACACAAGCTCATTTGAGTCTGCTGATTGTTTTTTACTTAACCATTTCCACTCTGCTTGTTTTCACTATAGATTTCCTCTCCTACGGAATGGGAATCAAACACAGGGGATCTTGCCCCCGAGACACCTTTGTCCTTCAGACTGAGATGACAGTTTCCAGAAGGTCAAAATTATATTGCCCTTTCCAGAAGATATTTTCTAATTAAAATAGCTTCTTAGCCTTTTTTTCTCTCCCTTTTCTCTTCCTTCTCATATTCTCCATCCTCCCTCCTTGCCTGTTTTGTGACTTCAAGGATCCCCACTGTCTAACTAATGGTGGTGATTCTTCTTCAAAGGTCAAAAGCCAAACCAGGACAGACTCCACACCACTCCACCTGAAGAGTCCTTTCATATGTGAATTGGCTAGTAAGAGAGGCTGACAGTTCTAAGAGATCTTAAAAAAATCAATTATATTTTGAAGAGGTAACACATACACACGACACAGAATTCAAAAGCACAAAAGGGTAAAGGATGAAAAGTGAGCAAGCCCCGCTCTCAAGCCCCAAGTACCCCGTTTCTCTTCCCGCCTGCAAGTATTACTGAAAACCAAATTTGTGCAGTGATTCTCTTGCACCCTATTACCCAAACGGTAGCTAGCACTGTTTGGTAGTTAATAGTATCTCTTGGAGATGATTCTATCTCCAAATATATAGCATTGCCTCTTTGTAAGAATTTTCTATAGCTTCCTTCAAGACTGAGGATGATATTCAGGGAGCCCTAATATTCAATTCTGTTACGGAAATGAGGTGCTTCCTCCCCTAACCCCTTGCAACACCCACCAGCTCACACATACATGAAAAGTATGCAAGCAGAGGAGATCTGCCTGGTTCTGGAAAAGAGGGCTCAGCTAAGTTCATGTACAGTTAAATTGATGAAGTTTGCCTGTGTCCAAAAACCAGCGCAAATGCCTCCAGTAATTGCAAATGTTATTAGGCAAAGTGTATTCATATGAATCACTGTTATTTTTTTTTAAAGATTTATTTATTTATTCATACAGAACTGGGGTACAGGCCAGAGATGCGGAGGGTGAGAGGATTCACCAGAGACAGAGTGGGGAGCAGAACAGGCAGATCGATGAAGGACACTGCTGAGGGGAGCAGCGGGCGGGTCGGGAGCGGTCTCCTCAGGGGCAGGCGGGGATCGAACTCATACTGAAGTGGCTTTAGCTTCTCAGTGCTGTGCTTTAACCCGCTGCGCCACCAGGGAGGGCCCCACTGTTATTTTTTAATGGAAACTTTTGCACCACAGTGAATCCAGTGGCCAGTGCTGCCTCTGGTAACACTGGCCTGCAGTGGAAGTTTACAAGCTACAGCCCGTGCCAGGCAGTGCACGTGAGGCCATTGCCCCTGTGTGACAGCCTCCCAGCAGCCTGCCACTGCTCACGTGCCTTACTGTGATGCTTATCCCACAAAGCCGAATCTATCCTCCAAAGAAAGCTCATACACAAGGTGGGGGGTTGGGGAGACCACTTTGGAGGGAAATATGTCCTTTGACTTTCTGTGGTTGAGGAACAAAATCATCTCTTAGGGAACTAGACTGAGAGGTTTCTGTATATGTCGGCAAAGGAGCTGTGAGGATTCCTGACTCGGTGCTGGAGATACCCCCTGGAGTGGGGCTCAGGAGATTGGGGTTCTGGTCCCAATTCTGCCCCCAATGGATGCTAGTGAAATCTACCTTGGTTTGTCTCTCTGGGCCTGGCAGTCTACTTACTGATGAAGTGAAACTGACTAGGTGAAGTCCAGAGCCTCACCGCAGAACATAGGTTTGTGTTCTGTACCTCACAATGGTCTTCTCTTCTCTTACAGTTGTTGGATTAAGGACGATTCCACCTTTTACGTCTCCGTGGTGGCTTATTTTTGCCTCATATTTCTCATGAATCTCTCCACGTTCTGTACTGTTCTTGCTCAGCTGAATTCTGTGAAATCCCCAAACCAGAAGACTCGGCAAAAGATACTCCACGATCTCAGAGGCACCATGAGCCTCACATTCTTACTTGGCCTCACCTGGGGCTTTGCTTTTTTTGCGTGGGGACCAGTGAGGATCCTGTTCTCATATCTTTTTGCCATTTCTAACACGTTACAAGGTAACTGCTGTTTCTTGTCCTTTCTGTGGCTAGCTAGACTTCCATTAAAGCATTTGTTGCTTTGGAAAATAAGCTCACCTCTCAAGGCCACAAAGGGGGAAAAGATACTCCAAGAGATCTTGGATCTCTCCTCAGTGAGTTGACAAGCAGTGGTAACATTATCTAGATGTTCAGCTTCATTGCATGAATATGCAGCTCACTCTTTAACTCAGAATGTAGAGAGAAGGCCAGATAGCTAACGCAATGCCAGCTGATTGGCAAGGGCCTCATCAAAACACTGACTGGCCTTACTTCTTCCTGGTCTTCATTCCATGTGCTCATAAGTTTACAGATTCACATGCATGTTGACATTTTGAAGACACAATTCACTTGAACATAGATAGCAATTACTGGACAATAAAAATATGAAATGTTTGACTCCATAGATGCTCACTGCATGTGACAGTCTAATCTAATAATAGATATTCTAGTATCTATTCTAATAGTGGGAAGAAGCATGCCACAAAATTATAGAGTAATAAAGGAATAAAGATCAAGGGCAGAATCATGGGTTCAAGGTTCTAGTCATGGTTTTGCTACAAACTGACCTTGAAAAAGGTTAGAACAACTGGTTGAATTGATAATCCTAAACCAGCGACTCTAAAACTTTTTAATCTTATTGCTGTTTTCTGGTGTCAGGAGCACATGATCAATGAATTTATTAAATGGTAGGCCAAAGACAACGTGAGACATAAAGCTTGGGATGTGGTCAATATGCCTCTGAGTGACTGTAGACATTCATTTTAACCTGGTTGCACCTATTAAAAAATCTTGCAAAGGAGAGGCATGAAAAATACTCTTATTCTCAAGTTTGGCGCAGTACACATGGGCCACATATGTGGGTCTTCTGTCAACTTGAGTAGTCTGTTGAGTTTGGGCCTGTTACTGCTTTTAATTATTCATTCAATAAACCTATATACTAAGCAGTCCTTTGGGATGCTCCAGTAAGAAAAAAAAAATTATATGGTGTAGTAGTAGAGACAAAATTCTAGGAGTATTGCAAGTACTGCACACACTCACTTTTGGTTTCCATAAAAGTTACAGCCCTTGGTTTATCCTCGATGGCTGACTGAGGCCCTGATGAGCTTGCTTCAGCCCTTGACAGACTCTCTGGCCATGAGCACCTTGCCTGATGAGTCAGCGTTAGTGAAGCATGTTCCTAGAAGTGGTTAGGTACCAGGCTCCTGTGCAAATTTCTTCCTCAGCAATAATTCTGGGCTTTTCTTTGGCTCACCAATTCTGAGGAGGTATGGGCTCACTTTATGGAATGAGGGGTGAAACTGAAAGCTGACAAAAGAATAAGAAGCAGAGCAGTTTAGAGCTTAGAAGGGCAGGGGAGGACAGTTTTCAAAACAGCAAGTTCTCCGCCCCCACAGTGGAAGGGCAAAGTTATACCTACGCAGGAAGCCTATGTTCATAGAAGTCCAGTTGGGTGCTCTCTTGAGAATGGAAACCAAAGACCCAGAGATCTAGCACCAACAGCACCAAGCTGTCGCTGACCGTCAGACATGCTTGATGTCAAATCAAGCAGCAAATGTTCCCATTTCCTAGAGTTGACTATAAGATAGAAGGCGCCATCTTGTAGAGGGTGATTCCAGAATCCCGGATTTTAAATTCAGGTTACACACACACACACACACACACACACACAGACTCTCTCACACAGCTCACATACAGCAAGAATGAAATACAAGTGAGCACACAACCATTTAAAAAACAGATGGCAAGCTGGCAGTTCTGACTGATGGGGGTTGCTCTGTGGCCAGGTATGAAAAATTATGCTCGTGATGAGCCATTTCGGCAGGAAGGAGGCACAAATAAACATGCAGGTGACAAAACCCTGACATCGTCCCTCATGCCCGTGTTCCAGTGAGTAAGTGGATCAGTCTGTTATTGGAAAGCGGAAGGCAGGTGGCAGCCACTCATTGGAATTCACAGAATAACCTTTGAGCCTGGGACCCACCTCAAGTCCCTGAGTACAGCAGAGCAGCACGAGGGGCTCACAGTTGTCCCTGTTGCTCCTGGTTGATGCTGCCGCTGGCGGACAGTGCCTGCTCTGAGAGGGACTTGGCTCTCCTCAGGGCCTGCTCCATCTTGCAGGTGGCTGATGCTCAAAAAAAAAAAAAAAAAATGAAGGCTGCTTGGATGCATCACCATAGTTGTTCGGTTACGAAATGGAGAGAAAACCCTGGAGTGAGTTAGTGAGGCTTGTCGCTCCATTCAGCCTCCACATTGCTGCCTCCCGCCTGGAATTGGAGATCCTCACAGGGCTGGGGCAGGAACAAAGATCTTCCCGCTCTGGCTTTCCTCCAGTGACAGCAAGTCTTGTGCCTCTGCTTGAAGTTCCCAGAGACAGAGCTCACCGTTCCATAAAGCTGAGCCTGCTTCTCTTTCCTTTAAAAAAAACTAAGATCTACTTGACAGAAGACGTCGATTGGAGGTGTACAACATGATAGGACACGTTGATATATTGTAGTGCGATTGCCATGGCACCTGTGCACCGAACGTGAGGGCACCCACTGCTGAGGGTGGGTAGTACAATGCTGAGGCCCCTGGGCTCTGCAGCCAACCACCCAAGTTCAGTCCTGACACCTCCAGCTCAATGTTAGCCCTGTGACTGGGCTCCGGTTTGCTAGAGTTCGTGGGCTCTGACGTCTCTCCTGTATAAAATTGAGACTAACGGTGCAGTGCTCGTCACATGGTCACTGTGTGGTAAACACTGGCTGGGATTTGTTATCACAGAGCTGCCCTGCAGCCTCCTCCCATCACTCCCAGTTCTAGGTTGATAACCACACAGAGCAAGACTATGTTGTTCTTTTCAAGATGGTCCTTTCAGATCTGCGACTGTAGTTTTCATTGCTCTGCCCCCTCAAGTCCCCACTCAAGCTTTTCTCCTATCCAGATACAGCATCCCAGTGTTCCCAGTCTCTTGGAGCCACCCTAGTCTTGTTCACTCTTTTCGATAATTCTGAGTATGGCACCAGTAGGAGCACAGACCAGGACAGAATGGCGGGGAGTCACGGGCCTCAGGCAGGGTCTTCGCTTCCATGGAGGCCCCAGCTGAAAGGAGCTCCGCAGGTGCTCCCCACTCTCTTGTGCTCAGCTTCAGTGAGTTAACACCACTGTCACCCATCACCATGTGGGCCTCTCCATGGGGGCCTCAGGGTGTCCTCTACACATCAGCATTGGTCTTTTGGATTGAGAGAGAGAGACAGATTAAGATTTTCTCTCTTTTTTAAAGATTTATTTTGTTTATGCATGTAAGAGTTGGCGTGTAGGCCAGAGCTGTGGGGGTGAGAGGACTCACCAGAGACGGAGTGGGGAGCAGAACAGGCAGATGGACTGAAATCCACTGCTGAGGGGAGCAGCGGGTGAGACAGGAGAGGTCTGCTGCGCCATGTGGGGCAGCTCCCTGGCCTAGGATTGAACTCATGCTGTCTAGCTGCAGATAGCTTTGAGACTCAACCCCTTGCATCCCCAGGGAAGCCTGAGATTTTATTTTCTGACCTTACTTTGGGAGTGATGTGGTGACTTACCGTCACCTCTGCCATACTCTGTTACTTCAGTGTGGGAGGAAACTATACCAGGACATGAGTGCCAGGATGTGGGGGTCATTGAGCGCCTCTGCCAGAGCAGCTACAATTACAAACTGCCTCTCCTGGTCTGAATGGCCGGCAGCCCATGGGGATGCTGTGTCTGACCTGACACAGTCCTTCCTTCTTGCCATCTCTGCCCTTGGAAGGGAGACTAGAAAGGTGAGCTCAGAAAGCCAGCAATGGCCCTGGCGTGCCTTAGACGGGAGTATGAACAGTGACAAGACTCGGCCTGCATCTGGGCCTTGGTGAGGGCTCGTGAAAGATGCTGAAACCACTGACCTTCTTCTCTGGTTTAGGGTTCTTCATTTTCGTGTTTCACTGCGTGATGAAGGAGAGCGTGCGGGAGCAGTGGCAGCTACACCTCTATTGCGGGTGGTTGCGACTAGATAACTCTTCTGGTAAGACGCTAGTTTGCAGAGCTCTTGAATTTTACAGTCTTTACAAAACCAGTGAGATTAACTTGTCTCCTGCCTTGAGTGGGAATAGTGTTAGCGTCAAAATGGAGGCTGTTTCCACATCATGAAGATGATTTTTATTTGTGTGTTGAGATGAATGAAGTCGAGTGAATGTGACTCGGGCTGTATTTTAACTTACTGAGGCTTCTTTCTTGCTCCAGATTCCTTGGATTGTTTATCCTCCCTGTCACCTCCTCTCAATTCAATTTAAAGAACATTGATTGAGTGTCTACTGTATTCCAGGCACAGGGCTTTCTGGTCCATGACCAACAGTGGGCTGGGGAAGCGATGGTGCAGGCGGAGAGAACATAGCAGCATATTTAAAGACACCCCACTGGTGTGTCGCCAGCAGTGGCAGGTCCTGCACAGTGGGAGATGCAGGGGATTCGGATGTCACCTCAGAGAATGTCTCCATGCGAGACAAACCAATTTCTCTGTCTTATAAGACTCTCCCAGCCAATCCAGGCAATTTCTCTCAGCCTCTGGGGCAGTCTATTTCCTTTAGGGAAGGCAGGACTTCAACTTGACACTTCTCTGTCTCACAGAGATTCCCCTCCCTTACTCTGGGTGTGCCAGTAACCCGCTGGTCACTGTGCTGGCCTCTTGCAAAGCAGGCCTCCTCGGCAAGAGCTGACTGTGCCTGTGGCTCATGTTCCCGCTTAAATGTAATTCTCCAAGAGGTCGACTCCTTGAAGTACCTAGAAAAAACATTGTACATCTAACTTTATATTTCCAAAGAAGATGGTGGGAGTACAATTTATATACTATAACATTTACCCATTTTAAGTGTAGGACTTGGTGTTTTTTCATTTTTTTAAATGTTTTTGGGCCTTTCAGATGGTATTCGAAGATGTGGGCAAAATGTGGTGTATGAGCAGGAGAGGCTGAAGAAAACCTTCCAGCACAAATTGTTAACACAATCACTCAGGTCAACAGCAAGTAGTTCTACCTTCAAAACCTTAGGCTCCGCCCAAGGCACACCTTCAGAAATAAGCTTCCCGAATGGTGAGTAAAAGTTTTCTCCACTTAAACGCCAGAGACAGTGAATTACCACACAGCACAGCTGTGGTCTTGGGAAATATTTCCTCCTCTAAATCGGCTGGACATGTACATGTGTAGAGCCGGACTCATTCTTGATCAGGAGGGCTGTGTCGAAGCACGTCGTAAGCTCAGTACTTGGTGGGTTATTAGATTCACATAGGAGAATAGAAGCTGGATGCTAAAACTCATGGGTAATTAAAAACAATTGTCACAGCTCATTAAAACCAGAAGGTACCTTAGGAGTTGCCTAACACAGTCACCTCATTTTACAGATGATGAAGCTCCAGCAGGAAGCAGAACATGTGCTATGGACAGTCCCTCAGCCCAGGAGCACGACAACAGGGTCCAGAACTCAAGTCTCCAGGGGAGTGCTCACCACATCCCCCAAGGAGGTGGGTCCCCACTGAATATCGGGCACGAGGCACAACCCCCCAGATGCTCATCTTCCCCCACAGGAAGATGAATTTCTAGGCACAGAGACAGATGTTGCGATGGAGCTGAGTATTAGGAAGGAGAGGAATAGGGAAAGGGTTGTCTGAAAGCCTGAAGTGAAGGACAAAGTGAACAAGAACTTGAGAAGTTCAAGTTGGTTCTGTGGTGACTCTGCTCTGTGCTTCCAGTTGGACACTGGGGCAGTGGCCTTTGGTGACTTTTCTGACCAAAGTAGATTGTACGCCCACGCACGGCCCACACACCTTTGGTGGCCTGACTTGCGTCATTCTCGCACCTTCTCAGAGCTGGTGGTAAAGCTGTCTCATCCACTTGCAGTTTTCATTATATTGGTTCTGCTCAACAGCTCTTTTTCCAAGGGTGATAGAAAACAGCATGGTGGGGAGAAAAAAAAAAACAACACTGAATTTGCAGCCAAAAGGCTTTTTGGCTCACGTCATTCATGACACATGCTGAGACCTTGGGCACACGATTTTCCTGCTCACAGAACATTCATTCTGCCTTCAACGGGGACCAGAATAGCAAATCTCCAAGGTGCCTACCAGCTTCAGGGCCAGGTGAGGCAACACCATTTTCTAGTTTAGGTTTGTAGACTAGTCGAGGAGTCTCAGTCCCTGTTTCTGTGTGGGAAAGTTGGCACATGTGAAAAAAGTATTTCTCAGGCCACAGGTGTCTAAATTCTAGCCAGCTACTTTGCAGGGACATTCATGTGGTGCTTGTCTGAGGCACCAGGCCAGAGCACATAGAGGGCAGGGTTGTGGAAGCTTCCTGGTAGAGAGCAGTTGGGCTCCTTGGGAAGACCGTTGTTCGAAGGGTTCGTTAGCACTGGCTTCCCTGGGGGATATGGCTTCATCAGCAGTTACACAAATGTTCTTCTGTGGAGGGAGGCGAGCTGTCGCCAGTGCTGGGTCCAAGCTACAGATCTGGAGATCCAGGGGCTGGGAGCTGGCATCGAGGTGCTCTCACTTGTGACGATAGCCCAGCCAGTGGGGCAAGTAGTGCAGCCTCTCGAGTCATGGGTTCTAAAATTGCCACCTGCCAGGAAACTTGGGGCAGCGAGCAGCTTGATTCTATGAGCACACAGGGAAACATCACACCTGTGGCACTCACGGGCTTGAGAAAACAGCCAAACCATCCCTGAATTTCAAATTCATGGGGGAATTTAGATGCATGTTTACTGCCATTTCCACTGTCTCTTCCCAAAGGCCTCCGAGACTAACCCATGAATATCGCCCCTAGGCTCAGGTTCTGGATTGATGCTGCCTGTTGTTTACAGTGCAGGGAGAACACCAGTGCCTGTCACTGCCCGCGTGAGGCACCTGTCAGAATGAATGAGCGTGCCCAGTAGGGGTAGTAAACTGCCCCAGGAAAGCACAGCTTCCATTTTCTTTTGAACTCCTCCATTCAGTCCTTCATCTCATGAATTTTTCTTGTGCTTCTACTATGTGCAAAGTCCCCAAAGCTATCGCTGAAAATGTCCTCTTTTTCCTTCAATGCAGCTGACTTTGATGAAGACCCCTATTGCTTCTCTCCCTTGAGTTGTGAAGTTGTGCCTAACTGTATGAGAAGAATATTGCCTGTCGAAATCAAAGTGAATTCCACTTCCAAACAAACATTTCTTCAATAATTCCCCATAAAAACAGCCTCACCCCCAGATTGTGGAAAATATGGGCTGCGTGAAGCTACCTGCTCCAACGACATACTCACAATATTTTGGAAGGGGCCAATGAGATAGTGTGTAGTGACTATTAAATCCAGAGTAATTGTACTTGTGGTTACAGGTGTTTCTTTTCAACACCCTGAAGGGGGTGAGCCTATAACTCTAAATCATATACATTGTTGTAAACTAATACTGCCTCAAAAAATTAAATAAACTTTGCATGTCTACTTAGGCTCTATTAAGGGATAAATGTCTAAAACGTTAGAGATTTTGTTTAAAAAATTCTTAGTAGCCACATTCTGAAAGAATAACTGTCTCTCATTGCTCTGAGAGCCAAACAATTCCAGGTGGTCAAAGTTCCAGGTACCCCACTGTCCGACACCCACAGTAGAGAGGGAGAGTTACAAGGTTGCGTCTTTGGGGAAATGCTCTCTCCTGTTGGCCTGTCATGACAGAGCAGCTTAAATCCCCACTCTTCAAGTCAGCCTTTCGATTGAAGCCTCTTGTTAAAATGTAGACATGTTTTGGGGAAAAGACTCGCCAATGTGTAGATGCCCACAAATACGAATTCCTGAGTGCCAATGAATTTCTTAGCCAAGACAATCCCTGAGTGAGGGAAGAGCAAACAGGGCCCTGAGCGCAGGTAACAGCGGGAGCTCTTTGCAGCTGGTGGTTCTCTCCTGAGAGGGAAGGAGGTCAGGTGAGCAGGGGGATAGTAGGGGAGAGTCACCTGAAGGCTACCGAGTGAGTGTTGCGTGAAGAGTGGCCTATGTAATCTTGTCCCAAATGCCGCGGAGGCTTCCCAGGCAGGTTGCTCACCTTGAATTTGGGCTGACATGGGTAACGAGATGCATGTTCTGGAAGGATACACAGGCAACTGGTATCGATACTCACCTTCAGGAAGGGAAACTGAGTGCCCCTCGGCAATAAATAAAGACAACTGGACCCTTCCAACGAGAAAGTAAGTTAAATTTCTGAGGTTCCATGCCATAAATCTAGTCTTCCCTTTACTTTTATGAATATGAAAGTGTAGTGAGTTGTGGAGACAGCAGAGCTGGTTCAAATCCCAGCTCTGTCAATTCCAAGATGTGACACTGGGGAGAGTATTAATTGTAAATTTATCATAAGGTTGAAGTGAAGTGATACGGTCTATACATTCTCTGGCACAGTGAAACACATTACGCCTTAACCCCTTTCTCTTTCTGGTCCCCGCCGCTTACTCCTCACCTATTCATGGCCCCACCTGCCACCATGTCTGCCTCATTGCAACTACATGAGATGCTCTAAGCAAGAATGAACAATGGGGCCTCCCTGGTGACTCAAGGCGTTAACTCTCAGCTTAGCTCTATGAAGGCACTGCAGCAAGAGTTCGATCCCCTGGCAGAGAGCTGACCCACATGGCGCAGCAGACCTCTCTGGTCTCGCCTGCTGCTCCCCTCAGCAGTATATTTCAGTCAGTCTGCCTGTTCTGCTCCCCACTCTGTCTCTGGTGAGTCCTCTCACCCCACACCTCTGTCCCACATCCCATCTCTTGTATGCATGAATAAATATATTTTTTAAAAGTACATGAGTTATTCTGAGCAAGAATGAACAATGGCTAACAGACTGGAACATTGTGCCAGCGCACTGGTAGAACACTCTCAGACGCCTCTTTGTTCCCTCTACCAACCTACATAACATCAAAAAGGTGGGTAGATAGACCTAAGGTCCTCGGTTATCTGCTTGTGTTAATCCTCTTCCCTATGAAATGCTGTAGTAAGAAAATTCCACTTCCACTGTTTCCATATACTTTTTTTTTTGGGGGGGGGGCAGGGAAAGTGACTGAGTGTGTGTGTGTGTGTGTGTGTGTGTGAGAGAGAGAGAGAGAGAGAGAGTATAAAGGACTAAGTTAAAGGGTGAACAACGTATCTAGAATATTAGAAACTGTCTTTGAATTGACAATATTTTAGTCACCTTCATTCAGAAACAGATTTAGGGACAAACCTTGAGTGTAATTAGCCAGTCTACAAGTAGCAGCATTCTATGAATACTTGGTTTTGGAGGACTGTTTGCCTGTAAATGTGGCCATGATTATATTTATTTTCAGCAAGTAATTATTGGATTCTGACTGTCTTGCAGGAGTGATGAATGTATAGTCTGTTTCTAATGACCTGACACGCTGTCAAGAACAAAAATGCTGTTTTATAGAAAAGTTCATGATTCCTGTCACCACTCCTCCTGTTAATTAGTAAAACATGGGTTTTCTGCAAATTAGATGGCAGTTTGAAACTGTCGGTAAATCACCGATTAACCACTTTTCAGGTATCCTTTGGTTAGCTCCTTCTGAGCCAACGCAATGGCTGACACGTGTGTGCAGACAGACACATGTGACTATGAAGGCAGTCCCGCTCCTGGCTGTGGCTGCCCTCAGCCACAAGTCAACCCCCTAGTATTTGAATCAGGAGAGGAGGTCTTTCCCCTACTCCCATGCCTCATGCAGGTAATCACTCGTTTTTTTTTTTTTTTTTAAAGATTTTATTTTTTTTATTTGTACATACAGAACTGGGGTACAGGCCAGAGGCTCAGGGGCGGTGAGAGGCTTCACCAGAGACAGTGGGGAGCAGAACAGGCAGATCAACGAAGTACACTGCTGAGGGGAGCAGCGGGCGGGCCAGGAGAGGTCTGCCGCGCCATGTGGTCACCTCTGGGGCAGGCGGGGTTCGAACTCATGGGGAAGTGGCTTTAGCTTCTCTGTGCAGTGCTTTAACCCGCTGCGCCACCAGGGAGGGCCTCACTCGTTTTGTTTTTTAAAGACAAAACATATCAGGATGTGTTGAGAATGCTCCAAAGTTCATGACAGGCATCCCAGAATGACTGAGAAGAATGCTGTTAACACAGGGTGATTTTTCGGTATACAGAGTGACCTCTGCCTAAAGAAAGTCAGAAGTTTAATTATTCGTCTAAGATGTTAGAGGAATTAACAACTAATTATATTCCTTTGTGAAGGCACTCGCCATCCAGCCTTCCAAGACTTCCCCCCCAAAATCTAAAAACATATTTTGATCCTAACTTTGAGGACCCTTCAGATCTGATTAGAGAGGGCTTCGTCTCCTGAGATGGAAATTGATGCTAACATTCTCCATTTTACAGGCGAATGACAAGGTATTCTCAGTGACGTTCACAGAAAGGGGGGGGCGTGTAGCTGTCGGGGCCCTGCATTGGGGGAATCTGGTGGAATGTAAAACATGGACCCAGAACATAGAACTGAAAGAAATCAACAGCAATGGTAACTTCACATGTGGGAAAAAATCTCATCTAAATGCATATGATAATTACAGATGTCCCCTTAACATGCGGTCTTATGCAAATGATTATGTAAATTAGACAAAAGTTGGCGCTGGCAAGTTTCCAGGATTTACTTACGTTAACCTAGTATCATCATAGAAACAAGGTTGAGGGCTTTTGCTCATACCCCATGTCACTCGACTGTGAGGGGAGGCGAGACTGAAGGATATGCTACATTAACAGGATGAAGGCCCTCAAATAACAGGACGTGCTACATAGATAGTCGAGGGATAGATGGTTTTCACCTTCAAAATGTTAGCTAGCTCATCCATCATGCTTAGTTGGTTGTGGGCAGCTATGGGACTAGAAATGGAAATGAATCTGAGTTGCAGTGAATTTTGATGAAGGCCTAGTTCATGCAAGAAAGATTCTTTTGAAAAAATCCACAGCCCACAAATTCCCAGAGGAATAGAAAACTTTAGAGGCAGTTACAAAGGAAGAATAAAGGCCCAGTGAAATAGGCACCTCCATCAAATCTGTAGACACTGGTCCTTGCAGGGGTAGAGATCTATTGGTCAACTTCATGGTAGACCCGACTTCCCCAACCAGCATCCTCGCGGCCTTTGGTGGACCTAAAAATCTGGTTGTGAAGTCTGACAGTGAGCTGGATTAGACAGCAGCTGTCTTCCATCCAGGGAGATTCTTCCCAGCCCCTCCCACTCCTCTATTAACTTCCAATGGTAGGGTAGTACCAGCCTCTTCCACACCGCACTTTTTGTTGTTGCTGTCATTTTACTTCACCATCGCATCAGGACACAAGAGTCCTGCTGTGATGTGTTGAAGGTCTTTAGTGTCAATGTCTGAAACAAAAACTGGGCAGGTGCTTCGGCAGGGACCGCTGTGGAGAGGGTGCAGTTTGCAGTGTTCAATGGGGTAGGTAGGGCTTGCTGACAAGATCTTTAAGAAAAGGCAGAAGGGAATTACCCACACGGCTTACTGCAGGGGCAAAAGTGTTTCTGATGACAGCAGGAACAGGTAGCAGTGGAATGAAGAGGACTGATGGAATTCTGGTCATATTTTGAAGATGGACCCATCATGACCTCAGAACACACTGCGTGTGCTGATTGAAAAGAAAGAGGTCAAAATTGACTCCAAAGTTTCTGGCCTGAACCAGCAGGATAGATGGAGATACTGTCACATCTGATGAAGGGTAGAGTTAGAAGCAGGTTGTCCTTCCTTTCTGGGGAAAGATCAAGGGCAGCGCTCTTGACATGTTAAGAGGTCTTAGCAATTCTAGTAGAGAAGATGTTGACTAGGACGTTGCAACGCAGAGCGTGAGGGCATTATGCTAAGTGAAGGAAGCCAGAGAGAAAGACAAGACTGCATGGAGTTTATATATATGGTCCCCCAAAAGTTATAGAATCAAAGAGTAGATTGGTGATGTCAAAGGCTGGAGAGTAGGAGAAATGGGGCAAGGTTCAGTTCTAGGGTGATTAAGTTCTGAGGAGTTAATATCAAGCATGAGGACTATATATAACACTGTACTATATGATTGGATTTTGCTAAGAAAGTAGAATATAAATGTTCTCACACACACAGGATAATATGTGAGGTGATGGATGTTAATTAACTAGATGGAGGGAGCCATTTCACAATGCATATGTATAACAACCCCTATGGTGTATATTTTATCTTACAATTTTATATGTCAATTATTACCTCAATAAAGCTGAGATTTAAAATGAAAGGAAGGGAGAGTGCTAGGAAAAAAAGAGGGGAGAAGGGAGGGAGGAAGGGAGGGGGGAGAGAGAGAAAATTGGATACAAGCCTGAAGTTGAGTCAAGGGCGAATCTGGGCTGGAGGTGCAGATCTGGGAGTCCTAGGGGTCTATAGAGCCTTAGCACTGGGCGAGATCAGCCCAGGAGTGGCTGGAGATGTAAGACCTCTAACGACTGAGACATGAAGCCCCACAACATTAAGCAGTTAAGGGAACGCCAACCAGCCAAGAAGACTAAATGACTAGCGAAGATGGAGTCTTCACAAGTGTCTGAGAGCGACAGGAAGGAAGTGTGTCCAGGAGTGACCCGCTCCCTCAAGTCCTGTGTCAAAGAGACTTGACGCAGGGCTGGGGACATGGAGATTATTGGTGACTTCACTGGAGCAGGTCTGGCTGAGCAGTGGGGGCAGGATGAACAGGCACCAATCAATGGCCGGTGGGAGGCAGATGAAGCTGGCTCCCTCCTCTGGATCGGGATTGGTAGTATTGCCTATTTCTCAGAGTCAGAAAAAAATTTAAAAAGATTCAATTTAAGTTTGCGAGTACAGAGAACCATGCATGTAATGTGTCTGTGACAAAGTACATGCTCAATAAACAGCAGTTATTCTTTTTATAATGTTCCTGCTAGCATTAAAAACTTATTCCAGTACCCCATTTTTTGAGATGTTCATGATTTATTTACAGCAAGGAGCTTACTCTGACACAGGCAGAAAGAGTTGTTGTTTTTTTTTTAATCAAATACACTTCTTCAAAACTTACCCCCAAACTTTCTGCTGATCATATAACTTCCTGCAAAGTCTGTAAACACCTACTTAGCCCTGCTGATGAGGAAAGGTGAGGCCTGGTTCACTCCTGACATGACTTTTAGAGTAAATGAAGGGTGTTTTACTTATTTTTCCTTTGAAACATTTAGATATTGTAATATGCTTGTATACCTTTGTAAATCACACAGGTTTTCATCTTAGAGCAACAGATGAGTCACTGAGGAGGGAACAAAACATCTCAGATAAGTTTTGCTAGAATGCACATCAAACCAAGTCTCAGCAGATGACCCCCAAAGAAACACCTGCTAGGTTTTCATCACACTCGTGTTCCCTGGGATGGAGTAATTATATGTAACTACCAGAGGCCTGGGGAAAGAGCTTCTTTCAGAAGCACAATCTCCTCTCAAAATGGGACAAGCCTCTCCATTAGCAGCCTTAGCTTTTGAGCCCGATGAAGCCGTGAAGTTTTCTTTTTTTCCTGCACATACATTTTTCCCCTCTCTCATCTCCTAATTGCCAAGTTAAATGTCACAGAAGTAAACGAACATCTGAGGATTTTCTCCTGTCCAAACCAGTGCTCCTTCAAATACCTTTTTTGAACCAGTGAACAAACAATATTACACCGGCGACAAGTTAGGGAGACTGAGCTGAACTGAAGCATCCATTTTTGAAAGACAATGAAACTGAAAGTGAAGTTAGCCCGACCGGCTGTCAGGCTGCCATGTTCTTTGGGCAGAAGTGGTGAGGCATTGGCAGGCATGATTCCAGTGAGTTACTCCTCCAGAGAGACAACATGGATGGCATCTTTCCTCTTGGCTGGCTTTCTGGGCACTAATACTTCCATTAACGTGAAGCTCTTTTCCAAAACACCACATACTATCAGTTTGCTTATGTGTGAATGCCTTCCTGTTTTCAAGGAAAGGGGTTCTTCCTTTCTACACATCTCCCTCCATCACCTCCTCAGGGAGCTACTCCCCTCAACACCCTTCCCCCATTACCCAAAAGTGTGGTCCCTGCTTACAACACCTAAACTTCTTCTTTTTTTTTTTTTTTTAAGTTTTCTTTATTTTTAATTTTATGCATATAAGAACTAGGGTGTGGGCCAGAGGTGTGAGGGTGAGAGGATTCCCCAGAGACAGAGTGAAGAGCAGAACAGGCAGATGGACTGAAATAGCCTGCTGAAGGGAGCAGTGGGGAGACAGCAGGGGTCTGCTGTGCCCCGTGGGTCAGCTCCCTGGCTGCCAGTAGCTTGATAGCCTTGAGACTTTACCGCCCTCGCAGGGAGGCCCAACAATACCCAAAGCTTTTGAGCCTGTCTCCTCCTCAGACCTCTCTCTACTCCACTCTCCTTCCTTCCAACTCCAAACCTCTCCTGGGCTCCAGTTTCTCACAGGCAGAGATTCTCGTCCTGCCACCCAGCTCCTCCCTCCCCAGCACCAAGGCCCTACTAATTGACTAATCTGACCGTTTCCTCTCCACCCTTACCTTCTTCTCCGCTGTAGCATTCCAGATTGTTGACCAACCCTCTGCCCTGTAAACTTTGTCTTTGATTTTTCAGGAACTTATTTTCACAGAGGTAACATTGGTTTAGGACATTGCATGATTTAGAGGAATAGTTCACACGTCCACAGGTGTGTCAGTCACCGCTCCCACACGGACACACCCACACCTTCACCCTGGCCATTGGGCCTCCCTTGGCTCCCAGACACACCCTTCCCCTGACACTTTGTCTGCCCTCAGCTTCCTTGACACCATCTGTCTTAGCTCCTGGATTTTCCCAAGCTTCTCTGTCTCCTCTTCTTGCCTTGTGTATTCTCCCTGGGAGAGAAAATTCACTTCTTTAGCTTTTGTTATCAATAATATTTAATAATGTACTTAATAATAGTTAATAATAGTTAGCTTCACATCCGAGCCTATTCCAAAGCTCTCCACTGAACTCCAGCCCTGTATTCCCAGCTCTAATCGGACATCTACACCAAAATGACTCAGACACCTCAAACTCAGTGGGTTCACACTCAAACTCATTCTCTTCATCCTCTCTCCCCAGCCCATGCTATGACCCAAACTAGAAATCTGGGTCAACATGCCCCCGTGTCTGGCCACCTGTATTCAATTCGCTCCCCAGCTCCGAAATGCCTCTGGAACCCCTAGCCCTTTTTCTTTCCCTGTGCTGCGGGCTGGGTTCAGCGTCCTTGCATGTTTTCCGCGAGGTCTCTCCACCCTCCCTGTCCGCACTGACTCTGGTGACCTCTGACACACGTTCCCTGAATGCCCCATAATTTTCTACACCAAGGAGCAGAATCCAAGTGGTAGTTCTGAAATCTAAGCCTACACTAAGTGTAGAAAATGCCATCTGTGTCCCGCCTACGCCTACGGTATTTGCAGGCTGCGAGCCAGGGGTGCTGGAGAACTGAATATTCAGTGCAAGGAAGCTCTGGGGCTGCTGGGCGCTCTGTTGTGCTAATGGGGCGCAGATGAGCCCCTTTGGGTCCTTGGTTCGCTGGCCTGTGAGCCCCTCCCTTCGCCCCTCTCTGGAAGTATTATGCACATGATAAAAGACAGACTAATGACTGGGTTTCATTCAGGGGTCTCCTGCCTTGTTCTGTGCGATGAAGATCTGTAAAAGGAAAATGCCCATGCTCTCCCCCCAAGCCAAATGGAACCCCACAGTCAGCTGGAAAAAGCAAGCCTAATCCTGGCTGCTGCCTTTCCCAGTGGCCTCCACGGCGCCCATTAGGAGAGAATGGATCTGATTGTGGTTCTCTCAGCTCATTGTGAAAGATTATTCAGATTTTACAAAAGGTGTATTTTTAAAATGTCTCTGTCTCATTGTTATATATATTTTTTCCTCCTGCCTAGCATAGTACAGCATTTCTTAGATCTTCCTCCCTCTCCAGCTAGGGCCCACATGCAGATCTTAACCACATCATTCCCCAGCAATCAGAAGGTCTCTCCACCTCCTGTTAGTCTGCAGACTCCTCTGTCCCAGCCGCTCACTCCTTATTCAGTCAGCCTGGCGGTTGGTTCCTCAGTCAATTAACAAGCAGCAATTGAGTAACAGCTGTGCGAGGTCTCAGGGTGGCTCCTGACATGGGGGCCACCAGGCAACTAGAGACTAAGCCCATCCCCACAAAAGGTCCATGAGCCGGCAGGGGCGAGGAGCACGTCTGCCTAGAGGCCCCGCCCCCTCTTCTCGCGGGAAGAGCTCCTCAGATTTCAACCGGAGGGGTCTGCTGCTCCTCAGCTCTCTGGCACATTCGCGCACCTTCACCGGGGCGCTTGTGTATGGATGGAATATTCTCTCTCCTCTCTGGTCAGTGACCTCCTGGGCCAGGGGCTGCGGCGCTGAGCTGTGGTGGCTGAGCGCGCCGCAGATGGTCCCCACGACACTGGGTATAACAAGGGGAAGAGGAGAGGTGGGTGCTAAGGGGGGGTCCATACCTACAGTGTGTTTGCGGGCAGGTAGGGACTCGGTGCCCTCTTCTGCTGCCCTTTGGCGAATCACCACTCACTGGCCACAACGACGGTCCTGGCTTTTCTCCTGTGTGGCCCAGGGCGTCTCCACCCTGAAGGGCACTCAACAGAAGGCCCTGGAGGGGAGACTACATAGCCCTTCCCCCGCCCCCAGCTGACTCAGTGTCCTCACTGTGGTAAGGAGAGCCACCTCGAGGCAGGAAGCCTGGCCAGCTCCCTGTAGTTTCGGCCTCTTCACAGTTAAGTCAAGACCACCCTGGTGGCTGCGTGACAATCATTGCCGCCTCCAGGCAGGCGCCCAGGGAACGGGCAGGGCTGTGGTCTCAGCTCTGCTCACCCAGCCCGGGCCCTTGTCCTGGCGTCAGCTGTTGGGAGGAAGGGGACCACTCCAACTCCCCCTGCTCAGAGGCTCTGTAAACTTGGCGCCTCCATCAGATGGAGCCCCTGGACAGGACAGCAGGTGGTGGCCACAGTGGAGTAGGCGGTGCTGAGGTGAGACGCTGCTCACGGAACCCTACAGGGCTGCAAACCAAGAGGGAAAGGAAATGTCTCTCCTGACTTACTGCTGTTAGCATCGTGCCTGAGGTCCATCCATAATAAACATGGACGTGCTCACTTAGATGCGGAACCTAGTGGATGTGAACAAAAGAAGAAGACAAAGCTGATAAGCTGACCATCAGTCTGGGGTGCAGGGAGGGGGCCGGGGGTCCGAAGTTGGGTGAGGGGCACCCAAAGGGGCCATGGTGACGGGTCACGGCAATGTGGTGGAGGAGAAGTAGGGGTCCACACCTGAAGGGAGAAGTCCATGGCGTTCACTTGGGGCCCAGCGAGGCGAGTAAACCCTCTGAGCCTCACCTGGCTGCTTACCAGGTGAGGGCTGAGAAGACCGCTATGCTGGTGTCTCGGTTATTGGAAGGATCAAAAGTGAGAACCCAGGGGAAAGCCCTTGGTAAATTGTAAGGTTCTGTACAAATGTTAAGGATTATTAGAAGGGGCGCAGCGGCCTGTCTTTCAATCCCTTCCTAGTTTTCCCCAGACTGCAGCATGTGACCCGCATGTGGTGGTTCAGGGCCGCGTCACCACTTCTCAGGAGCAAACCGCACCCCCTTGGCGAGCAACTTGTTGACCACCTTGGAGGAACCGTCGCCTGTGCAGTCAGCAGGCCGGGTCAGCAGGAGAAGGTCCGCAACGTCACGGGCTCATTGAGAATTAGGCAGCACAGAAACAGCAAGTAGAGACACCAAATTCTGAGATGGTTTGAGGGTAATCTTTCACTGATTTTTTTTTTTTTTCAGATTTGGAGGTTGACTCACCTGTTTATATGCTAAAAAGAACCCCCTTATTTTGATTTCTGAATACTTTTTTCTCCTAGTAGTCAAACTTATTATGGAATAAAACATGTTGATAATTGCTTTTTAATATGATGAAAGGTTGGAACCTTTTCCAGTGACAAGGAAATGAGAGAATATAATGGAATGATGTCTTGTAATTTTTATAACTTCCAAATAGCAAATGAGAGAATCGTTCATTTATTCACTGAAGTTTCCTCCCAGAATCACAGAATTACTCCTACACAGCAATTAGAAGGGGAGATGAATGTTTAAGCATTAGCTGTAACTTGTCTTTCTGGGGAGGAGGGGGCTGGGTTTAAACTGTTGGCAATGGGAAAGTTAATTAACAAATAGAAAATTTTAGTTATTACTTCCTTGGATTCTGAACAGGTTTTCTAAATTGTGAAGTTAAATAAGCCATCACTGTAATTTTCAAGGCTTTTCTTTAGAAAAGGAAGCTAGGATAAATAATCAAAATGTTTGTATCATGAGTGTTCGTCTTGGCTATAAAAATATGGTTCTTTGGGGAGAAAGCACATTCGTTTTTTGAAGTAGCACTGCATTGTAACACCATATACGTTTGAGATGTGTGTCACTCAAAATTAACATTCAGCACACCACTAACAGCCCAGTGCCACCTTTCACCACCTGGTCCCTGGGGGGTTTATCTGTCACTTGCCAAAGCCCATGCATCAGTAGTCCAGTGTGGACAAGCATACAGCTCCTCTTTAGGCCTCTCAGTGTGCCTCCATCCCCAGGTCACAGCCACCCCAACCTCCCTCCCAAGGTCACAGCCAACACAGCCAGTGTGTGTCATGGCTCACAAAGGGCCGAGAAAGTTGGGAGGGCTTCAGCGCCGTCGTCACTCCTGGAGAACAAGTCCCCAGGGACAACTTATTCTCAGGGCCCCATTTTCTTTAGACAAGAAAAGATGTGGAGGCCATCATGAAGTATTTGCTTGGTTGCCAGGAAGGCCAGAATAATCTGGGCGCCCAGTCGCAGTGTCCTCTCAACCTGCAGCTCCCGCCATTCCTGATTCACGTCCCTCCTTTCCAGATGGAGTTGTTGATTTTCCCTTTTCTTTCCTGTAACTGACCTGAGCATGCACCCTTTTTCTTGTGCTCTTATTCCTTCTCAGTCTCTGTCTGTCTCTCCTAGAGTAAGCATCTTCAAAATCCTTAGAATTTGATGACCGTTAGATTTTTTTTTTTCAAGATTTATTTGTTTGTGCACACAGAGCTGCGGTACAGGCCAGAGGTGCAGGGGCGGTGAGAGGCTTCACCAGAGACAGAGCGGGGAGCAGAACAGGCAGATCGACGAAGTACACTGCTGAGGGGAGCAGCGGGCGGGTCAGGAGAGGTCTGCCGCGCCCTGTGGTCACCTCCGGGGTGGGGATCAAACTCATGCTGAAGTGGCTTCAGCTTCTTAGTGCTGTGCTGTAACCTGATGCACCACCAGGGAGGGCCTCTGATGACTGTTAGATTCAAGGACAGCTGACTCATTGAACAGCATGGTCCAGTGGGCAAAGTTTCCTTCATCTTTTGCGTTCAATCTCTATTTCTTTTTGCCATTTCTCTTCTCCATCTCTACTTGACATTTGTTTTCTCACCTATGTACTTTACCAGTTAGCTCTAGAAAGGAATATCAAAAAAGTAATGAAAAGGGACAATATGTGAGTCGGCATCCTGTGTACTCAAGCTCCTCCAACAACATTATTTTCTGAGAGTTGTGC